GATAAAATACATATATAACAAAGTTTTAACTTTTTAAGTGTACAATTAAGTGATACTAATTACATTCACCATGTTAGGCTATCATCACTATCTATTTTTAGAAATTTTACATTATCCCAGCCAGAAAGTCTTACATTATCCCAGCCTTCAACATAACTTGAGTTCTGTCAATTTTTGCTTTGTATATCTTAAGGCCATGTTATCAAGGGCATATATAGACTTACAGTTGTTATTACCTTCCTGTGAACTGAATGTTTTATCATTATAGAGTAATCCTGATTGTGGTAATGCTTTCTGCCTTAATGTCTATCTTGCCTGATGTCCCTATGATTGTTTCCTTGGTTTGCATTGGGCACCTCTCTATTAAGTATCTCAAAAGTCTGTTTGGTTTGTTTTTGTTGTTTTATTTTTGTATTTTAAAAACTCTGTGTGCCTGCCTGTTTTATTTATCTTAGTCTCCCTTTCATGATTATGGGGGTGTGTTGCTAGAAGAGTTATGGCAGTAGCTTATTTCCTGAGTGTGTATGTGGGGGAAGTCTCTGTTCCTCCTGGGGTTAGGTGGTACCTAGGCTTTGACATACCTCTCTGACCCCAGATACCAAGCTCACTGCTGCAGCCCTAGGCAGATGCTGCTGCCATCTGTTGCTCAGGATAGGGCACTAGAGGGAGGAGCCAACCTTTCTAGCTGGCATACATGTGGGTCCCACATGCCTCTCCCTGTCCATGTCCCAGGTGACCATGCTGTTTCTTTCACACAAGAATATACTGGCCTAAGACTTGCTCTCCTAGTTAGTTCTTCCTCAGCATTATGTTTTGGGTTAACACTTTTTTTTCTGTTATATGTCTTAGCACACATAATTCTGTTGGCTTTTTATCTTTCAAGAATTCGCCCAAAATGGCTGATCCACCTGTGGTACTCTCCATTCTTTTCCTGTGGTATTGTTCTTTTACTTTCATATTGCTATATATGTTTTCTCTCATTTCATAAGTTTTGATGGAGGAAAGGGTCCAGCATGCCAACTTGATATTTTCACAAAAATGCTAATTTTGTTTTACTTGTTTACCAAGCTAGCTTACCTCAAAACTCAGTAACAAATTATGTTGCTTTGGTTTTCATGATTGATAATATGTTTTGACATATTAGTATTTTCAGCATCTGCTATATTACCTACCTTTAAACTTTTCACATCCTCTTCTACATCTTTTTCTAATTGTTCCAAATAAAAATCCTTAAAATTTTCTTCAATGCCTATATGAAAAAAAAAAGTACTTTGAGTTTCTTAAGTATTTCCTAAAATAGAATTAAAATATTAGTAAATTATTGTTTATGAATTTCTTAACTTATCTGGGTAAAGCAGTAAAATAAAAATTTCAACTCCAAATCACTGACTGTGATAAAAAGACTAACAAATCTAATAATTAGATAGAATGAGGGATAGGACAATACTGGAAACCAACAGCTCCTCCCAAACAGCATAGTTCTTCTGGCTGTGGCCCAAAGCCAACTGGTTCAGGATTACCTGATATGAATTAATCTCTAAGTGAACAAGGAGGGGTGGATTTGATTTATGATAGGATGGGATACTCAGAATAAGGATTCAGTATAAAGGCTTAGAGATATTAGCATTAAAAGGAAAAGGCAACTTCTACTTCCAATAAGATGGAGTAGATATACTTTTCCTTATTCCTCCCACTAATTATAACAAAAATTCTAGATATTATATATTAAACAAGTGTAAGAAAACTCTGAAATGTAGAGAGAAAAAGGCAGATCAGCCAGGGACCCTGGGACCTGAGGAAAAACATAGCAGTGAGTTCTCTGGGTTTTCTTTTTGCTTCATATATCCCAGGCTTGGAGCTGAAGAAGCTGGCAACCCAGAAACACCAATCTTAAAAAAACCAAAAACCCAGTGCCGTCAAGGTGATTTGGACTCACAGTGACTCTACAGGACAGAGTAGAACTGCCCATTGGGTTTCCAAGGAGTGGCTGGTAGGTCTGAACTGCCGACCTTTTGGTTAGCAGCCAAGCTCTTAACCACTGTACCACCGGGGCTCCAGAAATACCAATAGGCAGAGACAAAATAAATAAATAAATAAATAAAAATAAAAAGTCCCAACAAAAGCTTGCTCTCTCTAGCCAAGGGACTAAGCAAGTGGCAGCCTATAAAGACAGAAAACTTTTAGACATTAACCACTGTACTCTAGCCAAACACCACAGAAGAAACTGTGGCTCCACCCAACCCACATCAGTAAAGGCTGTGTAAGCAGTACTGAGGCACCCCAAAACCCCACTGGGGTGATGTCAAAGAAGGCCAACCAGGAAGCAGGACTTTCATCTCGGCTAGCTGATATGAGCCTCTCCACTCCTGCGGGGTCAGCAGTGATCATAAGGGTAGCCTGGACTTGTACCCCCCAACACTTGGTAGTAATGAGGTATCCCTTCCTCTCCTCACTGGGAAGATGTCAGAGGAGGCCTAATGGAGAGTTAGTACTTTTGTCATCATCCAGTGGTAATGAGGCCACTCCCATCAGTGTCAGTGAAGCTCCACTGTAACTCCCACTCCAACCAGCAGTAAAGAGGAGCCCCTCATTTCAAGTGTCAAAGAAGTCAAGTGGGAAACCTGGATTTCTTCCCGTGCTGGAGCAGTGTCAGAAAATGCCAGCTAAAATAAAAGGTTTAAATAAGATCCAGAGTCTCATAACGTAATAAGAAAATGCCCAAGTTTCAATAGACAACCTCATGTGATACCAAGAACCAGTAAGATCTCAAATTGCATGAAAAAACACAATTGATAAGTGCCAACACTAAGATGACAGAAATGTTAGATTATCTGTTAAAGATTTTAAAGCAGTCATGATAAAAACATTTCAGTGAGCAATTATAAACATGCTTGAAACAAATGAAAAAAATAGAAAGCTTCAGCAGAGAAACAGAAAGTCCCAGCAAAGAAATAGAAGGTATAAAGAAAACGCAATGGAAATTTTAGAACTGAAAAATACAATAACCAAAATAAAATGTTCAGTAGATGACAGCCTCCACCAGACTGAGTTCAGTACAACCAGATGTTGCCGAGCTACCAACACCGACTGCTCTGACAGGGATCACAATAAAGGGTCCCAGACAGAGCTGGAAAAAAATGTACAACAAAATTCTGACTCACACAAAAAGACCACATTTACTGGTCTGACACAGACTGGAAAAACCTCCAGAGTATGGCCCCCAGACACCCTTTTAGCTCAGTGATGAAGTCACTCCTGAGGTCCACCCTTCAGCCAAAGATTAGACAGGACCATAAAACAACACTAGACTAAATGGGCACACCAGCCCAGTGGCAAGGATGAGAAGGCAGGAGGGGACAGGAAAACTGGTAATAGGGAACCCAAGGTCAAGAAGGGAGAGTGCTGACATGTCGTGGGGTTGTTAACCAATGTCATAAAACAATACATGTACTAACTGTTTAATAAAAAGCTAGTTTGTTCTGTAATCCTTCATCTAAAGTACAATAAAAAAAGAAAGAAATTCACACCAAGACATATCTTAATTAAATCTCTGAAAAATAAAGACAAAGAAAAAATCTTGAAAGCAGCCAGACAAAAAAAATCATGACTTACCTAACAAGGAAAAAACAATTAAAATGACGGCAGATTTCTCATAAAAAATAATGGAGGCCAGAAGGAAGTGGCACAATATTTTTCAAGTGCTGAAAGAAAAGAACTGTGAACCTAGGATCCCTCACGCAACAAAAATATTCTTCAGGAATAAAGGGGGAAATTAAGACATTCTCAGATGAAGGAAAACTAAGAAAATTTGTCGCCAGCAGACAAACCTTAAAAAAATGGCTAAAGGACAGGAAAAGAAACAATAAAAGAACACACCTTGAACAATCCAGAAGGAAGAACACAATAAGCAAAAACATGGGTAAATACAATAGGCTTTCCTTCTCCTCTTGAGTTTCTCAACTATGTTTGACGTGTGAAGCAAAACTTGTAACACTGTCTGATGTGTTCTAGAGGTATGCTGAGGTAATATTTAAGACAATTATATACAGAAGAACGTAAAGGAAAACAAAGAGAGGTAAGGTTTCTATACTTCACCTGAACTGGTGACATGATGATACCAGTACACTGTGATAAATTATGTGTAGATAATGTAATATCTGGAGCATCCACTAAAAAAGGTAATATAAAGAGCTAAACATCATAAAAAAAAAAAGTATGTTCAAGAACCAATAAGAAAGTGAGAAAAAGAGAGAAATGAAAAACAGAAAATAAACAGAAAACAAAAAATAAAATGCCAGACTTGAGCCCTAACATCAATAATTACATTAAATGTAAATGGTCTAAACACACCAATTACAAGACAGAGACTGCCAGAATAAATTAAAAATTTCAAATAAGTGAAATCATACAGAATGTGTTCTTCGACCACAATGGAATCAAACAGAATCAATAGCAGAAAGATAGCAGGAAAATCTCCAAACTCTTGGCTACTAAACAATGGATTTATAAATAATCCATAGTTCAAAGAAGAAGTCTCAAGGGAAGTAAAAAAAATACACTAAAGTGAATGAAAATAAAAATAAAACATACCAAAACGTGTGAGGCACAACTAAACTGCTAAGAAGGAAATTTAGAACACTAAATGCACACATTAAAAAAGAGCAAAGGTCTCAAACTAATAATCTAAGTTCCTACCTCAAGAACCTAGAAAAAGAAGTGCAAAATAAACTCAAAGCAAAGGAAACAATAAAGAGTGGAGATCAATGAAATAGAAAACAAAAAGTTATAAAGAAAATCAGAGGATCAAAGACATGGTTTTTTGAAAAAAATCAACAGAACTGACAAACCTCTAGCAAGACTAGCAAAAGAAAAAAAAAGAAGACACAAATTACCAATATCAAGAATGAAACAGGATATTACTACATATCTTGTAGACATCAGAAAGATAATAAGGGAATACTGTAAACAACACTCCACGCATAAATTTGACAACTTAAAAGAAATGGACCACTTCCTCAAAAAACATAAACTACCACAAATCACTCAATATGAAATAGATAATCTGAATAGCCCTGTAACTATTAAGGAAATTAACTTTAAAATTTAAAAAATTCCAAAAAAGTAATCTCCAGGCCCAGATGGTTTCATGGCAGAATTCTACCAAATGTTTAAAGAATTAACACCAATTCAAACAGTATCTTCCAGAAACCAGAAGAGAAAGGAAAACTTCCCAATTCATTTCATGAAACTGGTATTACCCTTACATCAAAACCAGACAAAGACAGTACAAAAAAGGAAATTAACAGACCAATATCACTTATGAATATAGACACAAAAATCCTTAAATTCAGCAATATATAAAAAGAATTATACATCATGACCAAGTAGGGTTTATTCCATGGATGCAAGGCTAGTTCAGTATTAAAAACTCAATAAATGTAGTCCACCATATTAATAGGCTAAATAAGAAAAATCACATCATATTCATTGATGCAGAAAAAGCATTTGACAAAATTCAACACCCATTCATGATAAAAACTCTCAAAAAAATAGGAATAGGGTGAACTTCCTCAACATGATTAAGAGTACAGAGTACCTACTGTCTGAATGCTTTCCATTAGGATCAAGAACAAGGCAAGGATGTCCACTGTCACCACTCTTACTCAAGATAGTGCTGGAAGTTCTGCCAGTAGCATAAAGCAAAAAAAAAAAAAAAAAAGGAAATAAAAGGCATACAATTCAGAAAGGAAGAAATAAAACCATCCCTATTTGCAGATGACATGATTGTCTACATAGAAAATCTCAAAGATTGTCCAAAACACTCCTAGAAGTAATTAGTGAGTTCAGCAAGGTTGCAAGATACAAGATTAATATACAAAAATCAACTGTATTTCTATATACTTGGGACACCAAAATTAAAAATATAATACTACTTACAATTGCCCACATCTCCTCCCAAAAAAAGAAAAAGAAAACAAGACTTGTATGCTGAAAACTATATAATCTGATTAAAAAAAATCAAAGAAGACCTAAACAAATAGATAGACATATTGTATTCATACAACATAGTAAAGATGCTAGTTTTCCCTAAATTGATATACAGATTCAATGCAATTCCTAGCAAAATCTCAGGAAGATTTTTTTTTTGTAGATACAGACAAGATTTTTCTAAATTTTATATGGAAAGGCAAAGGAACTAGAATGTTAAAACAATTTTGAAAAAGAAAAAAAAAGTGGGAGGAATCCGTC